CCATCACAATTATTTTAAGTAAAATGTACTACGTATATGGGATTCAGACAGGTCTATTAAACACGTACAGGTAGGCTTGATTATTACTTGATAGAAAAACTGCGTCGAGGTACGTGAGCTTTGTTGCAATTACTGATTACTCTCTTCAGGAGAGCGATAACAAATGAATTACTCCGTATATAAAATCATTATTATTACAAATCCGACATATAAATGATCCAGTTGAATCATATAAAAATAATAAATAAGGCAGCATGGAACATTTGCCAACTAATTTAAGGCCTATGTTGCACAACACACATACATAATAAATTGATACAGGGGTATAATAGAGTTGTAAATGAATCAAATAATTTATACTCGATTTGCAATTCGAATTCGGATAATTCAAATACAAATACAAATAAGAATATCAGTATATTCGATTTGAATATTAATTAAATATATTCGATTAATAATAATAACACTATAATAAATTTTAAAAGAAAGAAATACCCTAAAAGTGTAACCCATATATACATTTTTGCATACAGATTTCAAGTCCATTTGTAATAAACCATAAATATAAGTACGAATACAAATCAATTTTTTGGTTCAAATATCTTTCAAATACAATACAAATAATTATGTATTCGATTTGAAGAATAAAATTAGAGTTGTTTGACTTTAATATATACAATTATCAACTTATTTCATACATTATAAGTATAATTTCTAATATGTGTGTTAGTGTTTATTTCAAAAAGTTTGAAATAGATATATACTACGTATTTATTAATCATAAAATTAATTCGCTTTAATATATTGTGCACCATTTAAAAATGCATTGATCCATTAAATTTAAATTCTAAAAACACATATTAAGTTGTAGCATGCGTTTACAACATAAACAATACGGAGTATAAGAAAAGTTATTTTAAAGTGATATTTGACTAATATTTAACCTATGCTCAAATTGATTCGATATTCGTTTATAATAATTCGCTAAACTATTCGTATTGTTAAACAAATACAAATTCAAATCAAAATTAATATTCATTTCATATTTGAATTCGAATTCGTATTCGAAAAAATTAAACAAATACAAATACAAAATCTCATTATTCGACTCGATTCGATTCGTTTACAACCCTACAGTGGCGGAGCCAGAGATTTTTAAAAGGGGGGCATACCGGAAGCTAAAATTTATGGTGTATTTTCTCAAAATATAATAAAAACAATAAAAATGTAATACATTAGCACAAATTAGTCATTACATTCTACTTGACTCATATCTATAATCTGGGTAAATCAATCATACGAGTCTTAATATGTTCAAAATTTTGCATACGAAAACGAGCTCATAGGACTAATACAAATGAGCAGTCTTACCCCTATCTATACTAATTTAATCAAAGCTTCTTTAGATTTTTTTTATACACCATTACACATCTACATTCTTCCAAGAAGTATCCACACGCTTCTCTAATCTATTGGAAGAATCTAGAGAACTCCACAATTCTTAAAAATGTTTTAGAAGCTTCCACACCCTTCTGCACGGTTTTAGTGAGTTCCACACTTTTATAGAAAACTTACCAATATTATTCTAGAACATTCAATGCGTACTTCTCTACACACATATACAAAATCCTAGACATCTTTGCAAATTCTAAAATTCTCATGAATTTTTCCATTAAGGAGGGAATCCAACATAGTCTCGAGAAAGTTTTGATCATTTTGCTTCAAGAAATGCGACAACATATTCGTTAATTCCAACACTCTTTTGCACTATAATCACAAAAAGTCAACCCGTGTGACATTTAAAGTTTAAAATAATCCACACTTGCATTCAAATGATGAGTGACGTACACTACACCCAATAAGTACTTGTATTCCTAGAGACACGTTTCCTGAAAGATCTTGCCTGACCGTTTTTTTAATACTTAATCTAAAATTTTCTTTAATGAGTATTTATTTTTGAAAAGAGAAGGAGAACATTAAATATATTATAAGTAGTAGTACTATTTTTTTGGCCGGAAGCGGGGGCGCTTGCCCCTCCATGCTCCCGCCCAGCTCCTCCACTGCAACCCTAGCCCCTAGGTATACATGCACTAAAAGTTGGACTCGTCAATACGTCTAATTTAAATGTTTCAAAAAGGTTTAAACTTTCACTATATCTTTTTAAATAATAAGCTTAATTCATTTCATCAATCACAATGCTCTTAATATAATAAGAAATAGATTAAATATTTGTGCAATAAGCATAGCTAGTAGATGCTCTACCAAAAACATGAGCATAACACTACTATTAGCTTGTCGCATAGCGAAAACGGCACAAAAGTAGTTGTTTGATCCAACAAGATCCCTACAATCTTGTACAAGAGATCCATTGCATATTCAGATATGACGTTTGCTACTTAAAAGAATTGTATCCCTAATAAATTTTAATATGAATACATATTTTTAGTTACTAAAACAATTTCAATTCAAATGGTATACGATATTTATTACGGGGTAGTGTTTTAGAAATATACTCGTAACATTTTTGCTCAAGATATACGGAGTAGTATAGCTCATAAAACTAAGAGGCCGTTTGGCAACACTGTTTTTCGGCTTATCAGGCTTATCAGCCAACTTTTTAACCAAACGCGTAACTTTTGCTCTCGCACGCTGAATTGTGTAATAAGCAGAAAAAGTAAGGTTGTAGTCACTTTTCTGACTGTATTGACTAAAGTTACTGTGGACGACCATTTTAGCTATTTTACATATATTCTTTTCTTTATTTTATTAACAAAATATATTTTAAAAATATTTTTTTCTTAAATCAGCACAATCAGCCAATGCAGCCACTTCAGCCAGAATTTCATAAATTTCAGTAGAATCAGCCAAAACAGCCGAATTTGGTGCTATCAAACGGGCTCTAATTCTCCTTTGATAATGTTTTCAAATTACTTTAGCATTATTAATTAAAACTTATAAATTCAGATATTACACTACTATAAGTACCATTGACTCGTAAAATAGAACTCAAATATATTTGTAAAAGAAATAATTCTAAATATATAAACAAAATAAAACGAGTAAAAAATGTGACTCTAATATCTTTAGTGACCATAATTGTATTCAAATATTACTCCCTCCGTCCCATTAAATTCTTCCAACTTTCCTTTTTGAGTCGTCTCACAAAATTCTCTCAACTTCTAATTTTGAAAAAATTGTGTGATTCACATTCACTCACTTTTTACTTACACAACTACAACCAGACATTTCTACTTTATTTCTACTTCCTCAATTTGCGAGCCAAGACAGTAACTTTAAAATTTAAAGAGAGGTAATTTTGCCAGTGAATAATGAATGTGAAATTGAAATGGGGACTTTTGAGAAGAAGAAATAGAGCACATATATCATATTTTCCTAAAATATAACTAAGGTAAAATTTATAAACAATAATGTGACTTAAGTTAGTGTGAGCACAAATTTACGATCACTACAACGTAAAATTTGAACGTAATAATAGACATTAGGAGACCGCTTGGTAACCTTTTTTTTTCGACTTATCAGGTTTATCAATCATTTTTTCACCAAACATATAACTTTTGATAAGAAAAAGTAAAGTTGAAGTTACTTTTCTGGCTGTATTGGCTGAAGTTACTATAGACGACCATTTTAGCTTTTTTACATTGGAAAAATGGAAACTAATAATCCAACCTTTTAGCGGGCTTCTTACAATAATCCAACCTTTTGGTTATTCATGAATAATCCAACCTTTGCACCTCATCTTCATTCATTGGTCCCTGACCGGTTGATGATCTGTTATTCCAAGCTATTTTCTTATCTTTTCAAATCATTATACCATAAATCTCATCTTTCACAAAGATAATATTTTGCAAAGATAAGAAAATAACTTGGAATAGTAGGTCATTAACCGAGCAGGGACCAATGAATGACGATGAGGTGCAAAGGTTGGATTATTCATGAATAATCAAAAGGTGGGATTATTGAAAGAAGACCGCTAAAAGGTTGGATTATTAGTTTCCATTTTCCCTTTTACATATATATTTTCCTTTATTTTATTAATGAAATAAGTTTTAAATATAATTGTTTCTTTAATCAACAAGATCAGGCAATCCAGCCACATCAGTCAAAACTTCATAAATTTCTGCAGAATCAGTCGATTCAGCCGATTTTTGTATTATCAAACGGGCTCTAAAAGTTATCAAAATCATATTTTTGTATAGTATCTTGAGTTTTCTAAAATTTTATAATTACTAATAAAAAAGTCATAGACAAAAATGTGACTTGGTAACTTTTAGTCACTACAACATTTCAACCACTAATGTACCGCCCAAAAATGTTACAATACCACTAAAAAGTGTTACATTAGAACAAATATAACACTTTTTTACCATTACATTTGCTCATGTTGCATTAGACATATTGTAACTCTTTAGAGTCCATAATGTAACGTTTATACTTCTAGAAAGTGTTACATTAGGTCTAAAAAGTGTTACATTAGAAAAATATGTAACATTACTTTTATAGATATGTTACATCTTTAATGTTACGTTAGGTCTAAAATTGTAATAATGAGTTACTATAATTGTGTTCAAAGTTTACATCATGATCACTACATCATAGTAGGTTTGAACACAATTATAGTCACTAAAAATTACCAAATCACATTTTTGTCCATCAATTTTCAAGGAGTAATATTTGTGGATTTTTTCCTAGTATCTTTAAAGGCGAAATTGCGAGGTTACATATGTTGAATAAGGAAAAGGCGGGTTAGGAGTGACACATATACTTTTGGACTATCCTTCTGTCAAATTGACTAACCTTTTTATTTTATATACTTCATTTAGTTGTGGTATCCTTTACTTATGGCTTTTGTGGAAGAAAATGGACAGTTCCCCACAAAAAACGGTTCTGCCTTTTGCCCTCTCTTTCAACGCCGGCTCCTTTTCCCTATCACTCTTTATTAAATTTCAAAACGGGGCCCTCTTTTCTGCTGACATTTTAATGCAGAAACCCTTTCGGGGGGTGAGTAGTGTTTCTTACTGTATGTATTTCTTATATCACAATCAACTACAAGAAGGAAGCTAGGAAGGCCAAAGTTATCATTATATTCTTTTGTTTTCTTTGCCCACCCACCATATCATGCAGCTCCTATAGCTTAGCTGCGCTTTGCTACGGAGCTAGCTAGGATCATATAGAGTCTGTCTTGTAGTTGATTACAGCTTAATTGGTACTGGAATCAAAGCTTGATTCATTTCTGGCCTGGGTATGTATGGACGATTCTACATTACATATATACTTAGCTTCTCTATAACTAGAAGCGCTGGTCACTCTGTTTTTCTCTTGCTTTTGATCGAAATGGCCGGAATTGTATCTTTTCTTGAAGTTTTGCTTTCTGGGTGTTGAAAAGTTCGAGTCTTTCCATCTTTTCCACTTTTCTTGATCGAAGCTTTGCTAGCTAAGTCGTCTTTATTCCTTGATTAATCGAATGATTTGTGATGGCATTTTTCTTTCTTGTATGCATGGGTTGATCAGTTCCATCATATCGATCTCTAGCTGACAGAAACACTAGCTAGCTAGCTAGCTAGAGCTTTACGTACGGTGGTCTGGTTTTGCCGATCGGTCGTGCTTTAAGCGCTGACTGTTTAGTTTGAGAGAGAATTAAAAAATGAGTGATCCGAAGAAAGGAGAAGCCAAGGACACGGCGGCGGCGGCGGCGAGCAAAGGAGATGGGAAGGACACGACGGCGAACAAAGGACCAGCGAAGAAGGAAGAGGACAAGAATGTACAAATACCAAAGGATCAGCTTCAGGGGATTTCTTATTGCATCATCAGTCATCCTCCATGGCGTGAGTTTTTATCTCTTATTTCCTTCACGGTTAGTTGTGTTTACCTCTTGGCCTTCCGGTCAAAAAACAACGTCCACCAACGTGCACTATTCCCGGGTGGGGATTGTAATTTTTCATAAATTTTTCATTTGTCACTTAATTAAGGCTCCACGAATCAAATAATATTTTCGTTCCAATTTTTGGCATACACATTTTGGCGTGCACTGTTCGTACACCTGTTGTTTCACGTACACAGAGTTGTACGAACAGAGTGCGGGTCCTTTCTAAACTCGGACCTGAGTCGAGCTTTATAAATGAGCCCTATGCATAGTGTTTCTTTGCCAAATAGATACATTAAAACTCAAAGATTAAATCACAACATCGCAATTCTTAAACTTAAGTCTTATTACATTATAGCAAAATGGCAATGGATATATTAAAAACTAACCAAGTCCAACATTTGTTGATGTAAATGTATTAATCAAGTCTGGATAATCTATGTTATCGATGAATTCCTTCTCAATTGATACATAGCTAATCCATTCAACCTTTTTGAGAAATGGTTGAAGATGTCCTCTTCGAAGTGACTCTTTTATTCGAAATCAAGTACTGCATACTTATTAATGTTTCCGACCTGACTTTGAGTTAATGATTCAATATGTGATTTTCTTTTCCTCTTTTGAAATTGAGGCAAAGATTTGGGAGGTATGAAACTAAAAATTAAATAAATACATAATTTAATGGAATCCTTAACAATATGTATTAGTAATTTTCTCTATAAAATAGAGAAAATTGTAGATAATTGTAGGATATTAATTACATTTAAGTGATGGAATACAGAAAGTTATGAAAGAAAAGGGTTTGAGACTCTTCGAGTGGTCTCTCACTCCCAGTTCCAATCCCAGATCCCAAGTTCTCCTCTGTTATTCTTTCCCTTACCCCCCTTTTATAATACAACTCACTAAAAGGGCCAGCCCTCACTTAAGTTATTGGGCCTTGAACCCAATTATTGAAAAACATTAAAATACTTAATAAGACTCTAATTATTTGTAGTGCCCGGGTCCCTATCATCACTCCCCCCTGAACTTCCACCTTGTCCTCAAGGTGGGGAGTAAGAAAAAACCATGCCATTCAACTTCAGCCTCGCGCCCCTTCCTTCCCAATACTTCAGCTCGGATACATGAAGTGGCAAAACCTTCCTATTTGGATTGAGAGCTTCAGCAATTAGACCTTCACAATGGTTGGTGTTGGTAGTCGCCTGTTCAAGGTTGTTTGCCCAAGACGATGATGGATATGCATAATTCTCATTCTGTTCTTGATTACCCTTAGTCATCATCTTATTTGATTCCTTGTAGCGGCCATTCTCATTTTCAGTTGGCTGTGTAAGACTCTCACCATTTTTCCTCTCATATGGCTTCTCTTCACTTCCACCAGTTCTTTCAAAGCAAGAAACAATAGCAATCTGTATTTCCTGAACTGCCTCATACTTTCCATTCACCGCAGATGAAACTGGATGCAAACTTTTATTCAAATTTGGCCAACTAACTGCAGTTGAGGTATCCTTTGCACAAAAAATGTATATGTTGAAAGCATTCTCTTTCCCTTGTCTACGAACTCTATCTTCAGAATGATTAGACTTAAAATCAGAGCTATTGGCAGTTCCAGTCGACTGGATATACAAAACGCGAGACTCCAAATTGTCAGGTTCCACTTTATCTGAAATAATTTCCTCGGCTTTCCCCTCTTTGAATTTCAAAAGCTCCTGATTATCAGGTGGGAGCATATCATCTTCCAGATTTAGCTCCTGGACTGACGGTGCAGCGGTCTTCAACCCCTTGTTTAATTTTGAAGGCGGAATTCCCGGCAATCCCTTTTCGGAGTCAACCTGGTCCAGGCTTAGGTGAGGATTGATTTGCGACAACAACTGCGAGGAGGTTGAGGCCGTTCGCGAAGAGGAACTGTGAGCATCGATGAGTGAAGAAGCCTGCAAACGGGGTTCTTTTGCTTGCGATGAAGTTGGCAACGATGATGAGACATGGTTCTCAGACTTCCGACGATGTCTAGGGTTCCTCGATCGTCCCCTTCTCCTGCTGCGACTGCCCTTAGCTTCGAGACTTTGCATCTTCTCCAGCAACAACTGCACTTTCTCGTCAAGCAAGGCTCGCATCTCTGTTCGCATCTCTTCCTTTGATCGTTCGAATGATCGCTCCAAACTGTCCATCCGTTGCTCCATGTTCAATCGAGTGAGTACCATACACAGGTGCAATGATCGACGCTCTGATACCAATGATAGGTAACGGAAGAATCCAAGTAGATAATTGTAGGATATTAATTACATTTAAGTGATGGAATACAGAAAGTTATGAAAGAAAAGGGTTTGAGACTCTTCGAGTGGTCTCTCACTCCCAGTTCCGATCCCAGATCCCAAGTTCTCCTCTGTTATTCTTTCCCTTACCCCCCTTTTATAATACAACTCACTAAAAGGGCCAGCCCTCACTTAAGTTATTGGGCCTTGAACCCAATTATTGAAAAACATTAAAATACTTAATAAGACTCTAATTATTTGTAGTGCCCGGGTCCCTATCAATAAAATAGAAAGCATTTAATTAATTAATTGAGAATTCCATAATTGCAATATCGATAACACTAAATAATAAAAGCATGCAATATAGTATTTACAAATTAGCCCATTTGGCATTCACACATGAGAAATTAATTATACATAGACATTAGCATTTAGCAAATCAATATAAAGTTAGAAAATTTCGGAAAATACAAACAAATAACTAAATAAGCAAATAAAAAACATAGACTTGTATAATTAACTATAGAACTTGGAGCCTAGAAGCATAGAAATAGAAGTCGAACTAGTTTTTATTTGTACTGCCCAAGGGGTAAAATAAAAAATAACTAGAAAATACATATGTATAATACTAATATATACTACGTATAAATTTTGGGCCTCTAATCTGTACAAATCCTTGGGGCCCTGTGGCCTAAGTCGCCCCGACCTTACATAAGGCTCGACTCTGTGCATGAAAGGTGTACACCAAAATGTATACACCAAACATTTTTCAGAGAAAAATGTATATGTTTTGTCATCACTCATCAATGCACCTGAATGAAGGGAAGGAAGGAGGTACATGGGTACATCTTGATACTCCAAAAAACACAAATATCAATCATACAATTTTTATTTTACCATATCTCGGTTAAATTTTCAAACTTTTGACGGATAGAAAGAGTATATGAAAGCTGGTTTATTTCTAGTTTTCTTAGGATGTTTTTAATTGAACTGGAATTTTTTGGTTTGGTATTATCTGTTTAAGTCAGGTCTGGTCATAACTAGTCTTGTATAGGTCTGGTCCTTGTGTATTTTATAACTGTCCAAATCTGGTCCTGTCTAGTATGTTTAAGTTTGGTCTGCTCTAAGACTAAAAACAATTCAAGTAAAAACATCATTATTTAGCAGTTCCGGTAAAAATTTAATTTTAACAAGTTGTTGCATATAGAATCAAATCATTTGTAATGTGAACATTGGAGGAGGCCGACTGAGTTTTTCAATTAACGATGTTTTTATTTAGACTCGTTTCAGTCCCATACTTCAACAAACCACATCAAATCGATCAGATTAGATTAGTAATTTTCTGTCTAATTAAAAACATCATAAACTACACCATGTAATACAAGCCTGTTTTTAGGTCTTTACCTCGAATCTCCCCATCTAGGGCCGGCCACCAGAGGTTTAGGTAATTGTTAACTTCTGGCTCATGATGTTGTTCAATTCGGGCCAAAACATTAATTAAGTAGTGTTTTACCCGGGGCGTTGCCCGGGGCGAAGGTTGTGATTGTTTGAATACTTTATAAGATATATATTTATAGAATATATAAATAATTAATCATTTTACTTCAAATAAACTTTTGTTGATTGTGAATAATAATTTAATTAAAGATAATATATTAAAAAGTGACATTGTAATGTAACACTGCACATACCAAACATCGCATTGTTGGGTTTATACATTAATTAATTACTCCCTCCGTACCATTTAAAGGTTCTCACGCGATTTACGATGTTTGACTGACCATAAAGTTAATTGATTTCTGTCATTAATATAATTATTTTCAGTAAATACAATTCACATATTCAGACACTACATTAAAACTTCTATAAAATCTTATAAAAAGTTATATGTGATAAAAGTTAGATATATAAGGTAAACGATTAAGGATGTTTTCTTTTGGACTGTTTTCAATCCCAGACCAGACTTCCGTAGTTATAAAATACACAGAGATCAGTCGTTTACCAGACCAGACCAGTTAAGACCAGACCAGAACAGATCAGACCAGACCAGCAAATTTCAATCCAAAAGAAAATATCCTAAGAACAATACACATTCTTTGTATTTATAATGCAAGTAAGAGGAGTGGTGCATTTGTTGAGACCTTTCGAAGTAGCATAGGCAAAGTTATATGTGTCTAGAGATTTCAGTACTGGAGAATTTTTGTGTAAAATTTACAAAGGTTTTGGGAACCGTTTATAAAACCAATCAGACACACCGAGCTAGTATAATGTAAAGCTTTAGGAGAAAAAAGTGCCCCACTATAAAATTGCTCTCTATATTCTACACACTATCTTCACTAATTTTTTTTTAATCATATACTTCGTATGAATGTTTTATTGAATTTTTTAGTTGGATTGATTTTGTTCGGTTTAATCGGTTTAAATTTTTTTGGTTTGATGGGACGATTCTATTCGGTTAAGCCAATTGAATATGCCACTCGTGTGGACGACTCCAGTATACACATTTTAATGAGTATTTCTCACGGAAATTCCCCACGGAGTCTGTAATTCTTTTATTCGGTAGTCTCAATGAATCTTCTGGTTTCGAATGGAAAAGCCAACATTAGAAGCGTTGTTTAAGATTCGAACCGAAAAGAATGAAGAATTTACTAACAATTACAAATCCGTCTAAAAAATTTAGACCCATGAAAAAGGAGAAGCGGAAAGCAATCCTCATCAGCCAGTGGCTTTGTGTAAGTAGGATAGGAGCTGTGTATAAACTTGATTCAAATGTCATTTGTGATACATAGCTGCTGTTTGTATATCTCCATCATAATTAATTTGCGTGGATTTTATTGTGCAATTGCAGCTGAGACCATTCTTCTTGGATTCCAACACTATCTAGTGATGCTTGGGACAGCTGTGATTATTCCCTCCGCTCTTGTTCCCCAGATGGGAGGTGGAAATGTGAGGCAGAAATTGAAGATTTTTTTTGCTTGTTCAGTTATTCTAAGTATAGAACGAAAAATTAGGGTTTTGCTGTAGGTTTTGTAAAGGCAACATAATTGCAGCAAATAATGGAAGTGGAATTTGGGTTTGTTTGTTGGATGCAGGAGGAGAGAATCAGAGTCATTCAGACGTCTCTGTTTGTGACTGGGATAAACACGCTGTTGCAGAGTTTGTTTGGGACCAGACTGCCTGCTGTTATGGGAGGGTCCTACACCTTTGTTGTCCCAACCCTTTCTATCATCTTTTCTGGTCGTTGGAATGACCCTGACCCCATTTCGGTTTGTGCCCTAAACACTGACTCTTTTTTCTTTGGATAACCTGTGAAAATATTAAAACTAAATACCAAATACAAAGCAATTGCTGAAGGGCATTCCCTTCAATCCATATCTCACAGGCTCACAGCTAGCAATAAAGGGGCATCCCCCTCATTCCACCTCTCACAATAGCATCAAATAACAAGTCTACCACAGGAAGAAAATCAACTAAATAAAGCAATCTGCACCAGCCCTTCAAAAGCACTCCCAATCCTAACAAACAATGGGAAGGGAATTCAAAAATCAATCATATCAAAATGATAGTACGTATACAAAATTTTTTAAGTCAAAATCTTAATCTGCAAAAATATATCATGGACGGTGCATGAGCATGGCTTCTATAAAAAATTCTGGAATTCCTATTCTTCCATATACTGTACACACAGTACAACAAAAGGCCAATCTGATGAATTTGCAGCTACCGAGCTCCCTTATACTCTTTCTGACAACATATTAGTTTTTGCCACACTAGGTAATGTATTCAAAGTCCTCTTTACTCCCAGCCGTTGACAAACACTTCACCTGACTCCAAATCTGTGGTTTGAAAATATTTGTATCTCAACATTAGTCGGTGAAGTCTGTGTACTGGGTGCTAAAAAAACATTTGTATCTCCTACTTGTGAAAATTTGATATTTGCGAGGCAGTTGCTGAACCACGTAAATTTTGCTGTTCTTGCATCTTTTGTATTCTCTTTGTTCGGTTCTATATATCGGGTAATATTTGGTTGGTGATAGATTTAGCATTACATCATTAAGAAACATTTGTGTCATCCACACGGTGATAAGAGCCTAAGTTAGTTGGATCTCATGCTCCTCCAATGAGCTAGAATGCTTCATGTTTAATTTTGTAGTACAGTTGTTCACATTTGGTGGAAACTTATCCAGTTTCCACAATAATTTGTCTTTAATAAGCTCAGTAAATGTTGTTTCTCAATCTGTTTCCATGATCAGAAATTCAAGAAGATAATGCGGGCCACACAAGGTGCATATATGATTTCCTCAACTCTTCAGATAGTCCTCGGTTTTAGTAGTCTCTGGCGCAGCATTACAAGGTTGGTTAAAATTTTATCTACTTGTGCTGATATTGCATGTATGCAGTGATGAACTAATTTGTTTTTCAATCTTTGAAAGAATGTTCTATTCAACTTTTTTTGTATGATGATATTATGAGCTGTACTTCCAATTATATTCACATATACTACGTATTAGTTTAGTAGTTTCTTTGTGATACCTATTTTTGCAAAACATTGGTATCGTTTTATGACCGATAGAATATAGGGGTGTATTCGAGTCACCTAATGGGGTTATAAGACATTTGGACCAAATCATACTCAAAGATCGAGTCCATTTTTTTTTAACTTTCGACCTAATGTTTTAGTATCCATCATTTTCTATTGACTTATTATAGGTCAGATTAACAATGCTCGATCATGTGGTGTTGAAGAAAAATACTGAATATGGAATAAAAATCAACATATCAGACTTTGGATTATTCCTCAATTTAAATCAGAACTTTTTGAATGGAACCCAATTCTCTATTTGGCATTAGAGCCCGGTCTATTATGGTTTGTTTGTTTGTTTGTTTGTTTGTTTTGCACCCAAGGTTTTGGGCCGCCCAATTTAGTTGATCTAGTCCGAAGTTAATAATGTTCAAACATTTTTGTCTGGTTCTCTTAAACATTGGTTGTTATTGTACATGTTATATACTGTCTTGTTGCATTTTTTGGATAACTGCATCGTTGTATAATAAACTCAGTGTGTTAATGATTCTTCTTCTTCTATGGCCTTTTAGTCATTTGAGTCCGCTTTCAGCAGTTCCTTTGGTTTGCCTTGCTGGTTTTGGTCTATACGAGCATGGTTTCCCTGCGGTCAGTATACATTGATGCCTGTTGCTTATATATAGTTTTTTTAAGATTATAAATGTTACCTTAACTCCACATATTGTCTTCTTTTGGCCATTTGTCTTTGTATGCTAATCTACCGTTTGCATCTTCACTTTGTCCATATATTATGGACTAATGGTTTAACAACTTTTGTTTAGGTTGCAGGTTGTATTGAAATAGGATTACCACAGCTTCTCATCGTAGTCTTTATCTACCTGGTAAGAGTGCTGCAAATCATATTTAGTAAAATATTTGTACTGTAATGAGTAAAAAGTAAATTCTCTCCCCTGGACTGGTCAATCACATACATTGTTTTAATAATGAAATTGTTAATTTTGGTATTTCAGTATTTGGGTCGCCTCTTAAATGGAGGGAAAGATGGTTGTGTTCGTCTCGCTGTTGTAATTTCGGTGACTATTGTATGGCTATATGCCTACATACTTACGGTTAGTGGAGCCTATAGTCACAGGTCACTAAAAACCCAAAACAGCTGCCAAACTAATCGCTCTGGTCTCGTTCATGCTGCCCCATGGTATATACTTCATGTGATAATTTTTCCTTATGCAAAGAACAATCCTGTAAAGCACTAGATATTACTCAACCAGTTAACAGTTTACTTAGTCACATATAGTGTGAAGCCTTTATATTTTCATCTGCCTTTTTAATTTACGGCAGGATTAAGATTCCATACCCCTTTCAATGGGGAGCACCTTCATTTGATGCGGGTGATTCCTTTGCAATGTTGATGGCCACATTTGTTGCTCTTGTAGAGGTTTAGTTTTTTTTCTTCTCATTCTTGTCAAGCTTGACGGGCAGATATATAATTGATGTAGTTCCTTGTATTGCTATTTTATATTAAGAGCAACAATCATATCTTTCATTTTGTATTATTCATTTGTGTTATTTATGCTTATTTAAGGGGCAATAAGATTATTTGCTTTGATAATGATAATTTGATGTCTTGAATGTATGTGCGTTAATTGTTCTCATATCAAGTGTTTTCTATCCTTTAACCGCTCTCCACCTATATGAGTTTTCTTCACATTTGATCGTCTATTCATGAGGGTTTTTCTTTGTATTTATAATGCAAGTAAGAGGAGTGGTGCATTTGTTGAGACCTTTCGAAGTAGCATAGGCGAAGTTATATGTGTCTAGAGATTTCAGTACTGGAGAATTTCTGTGTAAAATTTACAAAGGTTTTGGGAACCGTTTATAAAACCAATCAGACACTCCGAGCTAGTATAATGTAAAGCTTTAGGAGAAAAAAGTGCCCCACTATAAAATTGCTCTCTATATTCTACACACTATCTTCACTAAAATATTAAATCTTCTTCTGTGTCACATCACTAAAATCACTCACCACATCGCTGTGCAGCTTATGCTTATGAGTTATGACATGAACTTTTATCGATGCCAACACCCTTTATATCCTTGGATCACCACCCAGTCCAATTCTCATTGCCTCCCAACCCAATTCTCATTGCCTTCAATATTGGCTACCAAGTATTCTTTAGTTAAAATGAAACCTTTTGTAGTCGAAAGTGCCTTTTTTATTCTGAGCGTTCTATTTATATATTGCTTATCTACCTAGCATATGTTTGTCGCTTAGGCGCTTAGTTGTTCTATATTCTTGGTAAACAGCTGGTCTTGAACTAACTCCTTGTTTTGCTGTGGTGTTTGCAGTCCACAGGTGGGTTCATTATTGTTGCAAGGTTTGCAAGTGCAACTCCAGTTCCACCATACGTTCTAAGCCGTGGTGCAGGTTGGCAGGTAATCATAGGATTTATTTGGTTACATGATACGTACAGAGAAATTTCGGAGTAGAAATATTGTAGAAAACAAAGAGGAATACGAGGGAGACCAATTCGAGAGGGCCTCTATTTATTCTTTTCCAATGAGGCTTCCCCTCAATCTAACTAACTACTTGGCCAAGCCCACGTCCTTTTTACATCTTATTAAAATAGTCAGTAATATTTCTATTAATTCTCTCGCCATAAGTTCAGGTCCGTATCATTACATTTATACGTAGAGGAATCATATATGACCAAAACATTAAAGCACTGCAAACCTATCTTCTTTTAATACCACAACCCAAAATGCAGAGATTATTAATGCAAACAGCTTCAAGTCTCATTCGAGTCATTGCTTCTAAAGTCAGACATCCACTTATAGGAACTAAGAAGAATACATTGCTAGTATAGGTGTATCTTATTTATTAAAAAAAAAAAGGTGTATCTTATTTATTCGATTAGGCCCCTCTAGATCAACCTCATGTTAATCCAAAGAGAAAGTTTGTGAAGTCATCCCACACCAGTTAGATACAAACTCTTATTAAATGACTGTGGACTACTACTCCTGTAAGGTTGACCGTTTAAATAAACTTGTAACCTTAATAGCTTAATATGACATGAGAGCCCATTAACCTCCAACGAGCAATGGATCCTACTAAAAATACAAACTCAGATATAACTCCACAGCTAATCGTCTTATAAGTTTGACCTTTTAGAATGTGATATCAACTCTTAATAAAGTTTGATACGCTCTTTGTATTGTTCTTTGAATATGCTCTTAATAAAGTTCAACTCCACACAAACTTAGATCCAGATAAAAAGATCACAAAATCACTTAAATCATTTTGTAGGCATTCTCAAATGTGATGCTACAAGTTATCTGTATGTAATCTAGTATTTTTCTTGGTAGGCTCGGCATTATGTCCTCCTACTATGTATCTTTCCTTATTAATAAATAGGTAGGGTGTTCCCCGGTCCCTACCCCATCCTCGGATGGTTGTGCACTGGGATTTAAAAAAAAAACTCCACACAAACTTAGAAGCTTATATCGGTATATGCTCTTTGAATCATAACAACAAATGCCCGTACTTTTTGAGCTGCATTGACATGAAAATGGTCACCCTGCGACCATCTCATCTTGTCTTAGATTTAAGTTTTTTTTCATGTGTCTCATTAAACAAAGGATATATTTGCTTCTGTTTTTCTTGTTTTATTTCACAAATCATAAAGAAATTTGGCTTTCCATGCAGGGAATTGGCATTTTTTTATGTGGGATATTTGGTACCGGAGTTGGATCTTCTGTATCAATGTAAGTTCCATTTTATTGTAAGAGCTCTGGCCAAATACATGCTAATCCGTCAGTACAGTTGGTGAAGCTAGCCTAACTAGCACCTGCACATGACGTTAAAAGTAAGGATCTTATAAATGTTATAATAATATACTATCTGGTTACTTGAATGCGCAGAGAAAGTGCTGGCCTTCTAGCAGCTACACGTATTGGCAGTCGAAAAGTAGTTCAGGTCTCTGCTGGCTTCATGATTTTCTTTTCTATTTTTGGTAAGTAAGCTATTATAATAATAGTACTACCCACTACTACGTAATATACAATGAGATAGGCATACCAAATATCCTATAGATTCTTCTTGTTGAATCTCTCATTGTTTTCAAAGAGATAATCTTTTCTAACCAAATCATATTACATTAGGGAAATTTGGAGCAGTCTTAGCTTCAATTCCAATACCAATAGTCGGCGCTTTGTATTGCCTGCTTTTTGCTCATGTTGGTAAGTGTATTATACTATTCAGACATGGGTGATGTCAAAAAAGGTCAATATAATCTTACATGTGGGTGGGTTTGTATAATTATTAAGTGAGACATTCTTAGTCACCACCTATCTCTCCTATCTATTATGATCAGGTGGTGGAGGTTTAACCTTGCTTCAATTTTGCAACCTGAATACCTACAGAACAAAGTTCATTCTTGGCTTTTCCATCTTTCTTGGTTTGTCCATCCCTCAGTACTTCAACCAATATGCTGCCATCAATGGCTACGGACCTGTCCACACGAGTGGGAGATGGGTATGCTTATTAATCTTTACTTATTTATTAAAACTTAGAATTTCAAAACAACCCAAGATATTATGTCTTATATGCTTTTGTTTTTATAGTTGAGTGGCATGGGATGACTTAGCACTTAATCTCATCACTTTTCCATATGTGCTTTTGCTTTTGTTATTACTGTATTTGTGTAAGTTACTTTATATATTTCCTTTTGGTGTTTCTTTTTTGTGTGTGGTTCAATATCAGTTTAATGACATAGTCAATGTGCCGTTCTCGTCGAAAGCTTTTGTTGCCGGGGTTGCGGCATATTTCTTAGACAACACAACACGTACCAAGTCTGAAGCAAAGGACAGTGGGGTGGAGTGGTGGGCGAATTTCAAGTCTCCCAAGTCAGACAAGAGAAACGCGGAATTCTACAAACTCGCTTTTGATCTTGACAAACACTCATATTAAAATGTTTGATTGGTAGATGTAATGATCGTTCCAACTTTTTTCATTCATTCTCCTCCAATGCATGTTCATGTGCACACAACCAAATATCTTATTATATGTATATGTATTATAATATTTATACTACGTATATACTAGCTAGTGTAATCTTACAACTTGGCGCTGATACCTAGAACAATTATTTATTTGTTACATAATATGCTCATAGCCTCATATAGAATGATATTATTATATACAGAGTTTTGTTCCAATGACAATAACATCTTATAACAGAAAAGTGATTAAATTTGGTGTATTGGATTCAAGTCTTCAAGACCTCAGATTTTTTTTTTTTGCAAAACTTCCTAACCTATATTTGTTGTAATGATCCGAGAACTTTAAAAAAGTGCAACAAATTATTAATAATTGAGTTCAATCTTAAGATGTTTTTTATTGGATTGAAATTTTTCTATCTGGTTTGGGTTGAACTGATCTCGTCTAGTATAGTGTGAATTGCGTGGTTTGATATATGTATAATGTATGCTATATATGTAATTTTCAATTGTTGAAATCTGGTCTAATCAGAGTCTGAGTGCTGGACTCGGGCCGGGCGGCCCGGCCCGGAACCGGCCCGGCCCGGCCCGGCCCGGCCCGGGGCCCGGTGGGTCTACCGGTTCGGTTCGGCCCGTCCCGGCTGCTGGGCGGTTCGGGCTCGGGCCCAGGTTTTGGTGAACCGGCCCGGCCGGTTCGGGCCCAGTCCGGATTTTAATTTTTTTTTTTGAAATTTTTTTAAGTTTTAGGTTGGATTAGGTATTTTGGGCCATTTGAGGTGGTTTGGGATTGAGGGGGAGGGGTAGGGGATTAAATAGGAGAACAAAAAAAAAAATAATTGGGCCGGTTCGGCCCGGCCCGGTTTGGCTCGGAACCGGCCACCGGCGGTTCGGGCTCGGGCCTCCCCTTCCCTGGCCCGAGGCCCGGCCGGGCCCAGGCCTGAACCGGGCCCGAACCGGCCCGAGTCCAGCCCTAAATCAGACTTGATCTTGTTTGGGATTGAAATTAATTTAAATAGAAACACTCTTAGAAATATAACATTATATGAGGAATATGGGTGGACTTACTCTCGATGATGACTCGGAAAGAAAATGTGAGATTGGGATTGGGAGAAAGTCTTCATATACGGTTGCGAGTCAGGCCCGGTCCTAGAGTTATTAATGGTTCAATTAGGAGATTGGCCTAGGGAGGTGGTTCACTTAGATCGGCCCCGGGGTGCATTTTTTGGGATTGAGATTGGTCGATCCAATCTCGATTTGATCCATCTTTTTTGTGTATTTCAAATATTGGAAACATTTTCAAAGAAGTGTAAAACCTTTTTTGAAAGAAAATAGCCTATATTGATATAATTAGTTTCATGATCGTAACATACTTACATCAATCAAAGAAAAATAATACTTGACACCAACTACGACGACAAACCCTATGATTAGACATAGAAATGATCAAGCCTGAAAGAGTAACATGAATCGCTAATCATGAAACAAACTTTAACAATAAGAATAAGCTAAATTTCCAATCTTCTTGGCACACCTTGCAGCATAGGCTTTAAAAATAATTCAAACAACAAAATAAAACACAAAACTAAAATAAGTCAAGCAAAGAGATAACTTCCTACATGAGCTCCACACAGTCTCGTTGTAGCATCTGTGAAATGTTTTCTTCCAAATCCGAAACACACGTTCACTCCCAGGCGGCGGTTCAGGAGGGGGACGCAAGAGTTGAACCACCAGGCCACTCCTGAGCCGAATTCCTATCTGTCCCCCACTCCGAACAAATATGTCAAAGCTGTCTAGACTAGATAAGTATTGCTCAGCCTCCGAGTGGAAGTTGGGGGCGACCCAGATATGTCTTGGGAGTTAGAGGACGACATTACTAACGGATTTGTACTTAGGCTAATAGATCAAAAGGTGACTACTTGCTAACATTAGATTAAGTCAATGAAAGCTAAGTATGAAAAATTTGGCGAAGAACGGATGAAGAACTAACCTTGAAGGTTTCAAGATTATGAAGAACCTCAAAGGGAGTTTCTCTTTCTAGAATTTGGCAGTACTCCGTCCGTTCTCAAGATAGCACACAAGGAAAAAAAAAATCCTAAGGCCAAGTATTTATAGGCGGAGCAATGATGACCCCCTCAATGGTCGTTACACGTGTCATCATGACGGCTGCCATTCGGTTCAATCGATGTGACCGCCCTGATTCGACCACTCACCTCATGCCACCTATCTCAAAATGTTTGCTCTTCTGGTGCGTTGCGGTTTATCACACGTGGTGTACCACGATACACCACGACACCACCATATGGTACACAACGAAAAATTTATGAAGACACACACCAATGCCAAACACATCAGTGAACCCAAGGCCTATTGGACCCCGACAACAAATCGCCAGCGTCAAACAAAAGTGATGCACCCCAGGTACCCATCTTAACTCAAAGACCAGAGTAAGCCCCTCGAGTTGAGCACCACGATGTTGGTCTCTGGACAGCGACCTTCGGATAGGGATTCTCCCATAGGGTTACCTTGTTCAGTGTTGTTAGAGAAATTGATATTAAAAATGTGAGTTTAACCAGATAAAAATCCCGAGTTTAAACAAATCACCAGACAAACCACCAAATGCAAGAACGAAAAAAACAACAACAATAATAGTAATAGTTAGAATAAATAAAAATGAATAAATAGAAAAGATAAGAAAACTTATCGCAGGATCGCCCGTTAAAACGAACTGGCCTTGAAGAAAGATAGCCCCCGTATCCCGATAGCTATTCGGACGGGTCTGGCTAGCTCGCTCCCAGGATAATCCTACTCTGTTTCAGTCTTGTAGCTACCTTGACTGAAACCCTTGACCGTTGCCCGAAATGCCTTAGAAAGAGACGAGCTTGACAAAATGAAGAGCAAAAGTATCCGAATAGACTTTGGTTTTTGAGTTTTTGACACTCGAAGAGAAACTCGAACAATAACCACACGAAGAGACAAATGAGAAGAGAAAAGAAAGGAGTTAGTGTTCCTCTTCTTTTACAAATTTGTTTGTGCGTTAGGAGGAAAAATCATCAAGTAGTACATGTGTTCTATCTTTCCTTATGCTTTGTACGGATATATACTCTAGGGAGATTGAGCAGCACATCAGTTATGTGCATGGAAATCAAATTCACAACATATTCATTTGAATGGAAGTAAGTAACGGTTATTCCTTAATATCATTTTAATGATCCTTGAATAATCATTAACCAGGCTTATTAGCTATCCACTTAGACCATTCAAATTCAAGTATTTGAAACGTTCCAAATTAGTTTAATAGCCACCGTTTCATTATCTATTAAGATAATAAAACATTTCAAAATTGTTGTCCATAAATTAAATGGTCTTTAACTTGAGACATTTTCTCATACACTTTTAGATCATCCCGAGCGGGCCTGAGCGTACGGAATAATATTTCAAGCTACCTTACGTGATACTTGAATGATTTTCCTTATCACATAATATTTTATTAATAGACCATCTATCTATTACATAAGACAACAATTTACTATTTCAATATTTCACTTTACAACTTTTACAACTATGGATTCCAATCAATAAATGAAATAAATCCAAGTATGAAAGTTGTACTTTGATAATAAGTCACTCCCATTACATAAGAATATGTTACACATATATCTCAGGGCCCAAAAATGAGACCACTAACAATTAATATTTTTATTATTATTATTATCATATTTCCAACAATCCCCCACAAATCCATAGTTGTAGACTCAACTCTAAGACAAAGTGTGCTTTCGAATATGGTACCTTCCGGTTTGAACCAAATTCTAAGCTCTTACCCCTTACCCCCACAGGAACTGAGTGAACAGAGTTCTTGAACTCGAACCTTGGTTGTGTTGGCGTGGGATAAAAGCAACACACTAACGGCAATGGCAACGATCTATAGGGGTGACGCATTACGGCCGTGCGTCCGATCCTGTCTCAAGAATGTCATCGAGAATAAACCCACATTCTCTTATTGCGGCCACACAATAACATTCTCATAGTTGGGCATCTCCAAGAGTGCATTGCTAACACTCTGCTATTAAAGCTCGATCCCATTCAGAGTCTTAAACTCTTACTAACTTAGCAATTTCAACATCTTGAAGGCTTTCAAGGAATAGAACTCATTAAAAAATTTATTTTCATGAGATGCACAATTCACTCTACGGTTTGTTTATACCACATTGAACCTACTTTATGGGATCTCCACTCAGTTAGGTTGGGTTGCTACCGTAGATGAATAATTATTGGGTTTCAGCCCCATTCCTAACCTTGATTTTATCACTTGATTTAAATCAAGTCCTTTTGTTAAAGGGTCCGCTGTATTATCTTTGGATCCAACAAAATCAACAGCAAATACCCCTTGAGACACAAATTTCCTTATAGTTTTTAATCTAACTTGAATGTGTCTCCTAGTCTTTTGATTATACTTGGTACTCCTAATTTTTGCAATTATACTCATACTATCACAATGCAAACAAATAGGTGGAATTGGCTTGCTGAATATAGGTAACTCGGACATAAGTCCCTTAAACCATTCAGCCATAATCCCTGTAGTATCCAACGCACATAATTCGACCTCAAAAGTAGACCGAGAAAGTACAGTTTGTTTAGTGAACTTCCAAGCAACAGCCCCACCACCAAACGTAAAAACATAGCCGGTACACCCATAACTCCCGGAGTTCTTAGCTATCCAGCTTGCATCACTATATCCTTCAAGAATAGGAGGATATTTACCATAATGCAAACCCAATGAAATAGTTCCTTTCAAGTATCTAAATACTCTATCTAAGGCCTCCCAATGAGTTCTATTTGGACAGCAAGTGTACCGACTAAGTTTAGACACTGAAAATGCAATATCAGGTCTAGTGCAGTTAGCTAAGTAACCCAAGCTACCAATCATCTGAGAATATTTTAATTGAGACACAGGAACACCACTTTCATTTTTATACAAAGCTACAGAAGGATCATAGGGCGTTTTAGCAATTCTACTATTTTTAAATCCAAACTTCTCAATTAATTTTTCAATATAATGAGACTGAGAAACAGAAATGCCCTCGGTTGATCTAGTCAACTTTAGCCCAAGAATTACTTCAGCCACCCCCATATCCTTCATTTCAAACTTAGATTTCAAAAATGACTTAGTCTCAAAAATAATATTATCATTACTTCCAAATAATAATATATCATCAACATATAGACAT